TGTCACTTTAATTCAATTTTCACTTTAATTCAACAGCTGCAATTACATATGACTGCTTAATTAGAATAAGCTGTAAAAAAAATAAAATATTATTCTGCACTTGAAAAAAATAAATTATGAGGGTTTTTTTGAAGCAATTTTGCTTGCTGAAATTCCGTTATTAAGCAATGTTTATATGTTGATTTTCTTTAAAGGAACAAGAAGTGCCGTGCTTAGTAATATATAATTTATTTCAGCCATTAAATAAATTGGAAAGTGTCACACAATAATCTGAGACCCCTTTAAAAGTATTCAGTACAGCATGAAGCAATGTCAAGATAGCATGACCAATCTCAGAAATGGTTTTCAAGAACACAGTATGATTGTGGCTCAAAGCAACCCCTGCATCTTTCATAATTCATTCTTTATCAATCATGCAGAAATCTTCATTCATATATTTTCCTACCTTGTTTAAGGCCAGCCTTAACTTTGCTGCTACAAAATACAAGTTCCTCATAATTTCTTAGCATCAAGACCTAGTAAGATTGCGAGTGAAAAATTCTACTTGTATGTAATAACCAGCAAATAAAATATGCAACTGGGTCTCGAAAGGTAGGTGGCTTTGTAACATTCAGCAATCTGTCTCAGTTCCAGGCATAAACACATTGAAAAGTCTCTATAAGGATAATGGAAAGCAAAAAGACAACATTTCATCAATGCAATGTTAACTTTTCCAAATCTCCTCTCCTCTCCTCTCCTCTCCTCTCCTCTCCTCTCCTCTGCTCTCCTCTCCTCTCCTCTGGTTTATTCCAAAATATCAAAAATGAGAGGTTTGGAGTTGAAATACTAGATATTACCTGCTTTGATTATTGTTAGCTTGTGGTATAAAGCTTGACTCGGAGAGAGTTTTAGACTTGTAATACCATTTTCCTTATCTCAGACCAAAAATTGGAATCTCATTAACTAACAAAGATCTTAGGAATTAATCACTGCAATGCTGAGCTTAAGTCCCCAACACATGATTAGCTATTGCCCTACAATGAGATTTGGCTGTACAATCTCTCTCTTTTGAAGTGTTTCTGTGGAAACATCACTTTTTCCACTCTTGGAAGGTACAGTTTCATCAGCACCTTATTCCGGCGTTGATTAGAGGTAATCTGTTCCTGTGGGGTTACCAGTGCCAAGCACACATTTGGTGCTTAATAATTAGTAACATTACTGCATGATGGTATGACGTTGCATTTAAAATACAGATTGGTGACAGCGTTCAATCTCCAGTACAGCAAATTACCTCTGCTTTGCATTTCGTTAAAAAAATCGCAAAGTTATCCTGAGATATCCTTTAATTAATTAAACTTCTTGCTGAAAAAAGAGAGAAAAAAAAAGTTTTATGTCTAAGAGTAAAAGCCAGTTTCTAATTGCTGCAATTTTTTATTCAGAGGACAGATTATCTGAAACAACTACTTTTTGCTATTGCAAGCACTTGACTTTTCGGTAGTCTTTCTCAACTCCTGTAGTGTGCACATTTTATCAGAATAGGTGTACTACCCACATTCTACCCATATACTATTTTTCAAGAATTTTACTAAGGTTTTGGCCAAACTATGCAGATATATGAGCTACGACAGATCTTCTAGGTCCAGCCTGACAACATCTCTTGGATAGGGGATATGCTACCATATGGAATCAACTGCTGGTCAAGGCATCCAAGACCTTCTGCATGGAAGCCACAAGAGAGCAGGGCCAGTAAGGACCATGAGCACACCTGAGTCTCATCCTAACATGAAGTCAGGACCACCAGGATAACAACACCTGCTTCTAAAGCATAGACATAGTCTAATAAAATCCGTATCTAAGAACTCGGAGCCCTTCAAGTGTCCTCACCTTCACTGGGGGGGAAAAAAAAAAAAAGAAAAAAAGAAAAAGGAAAAAGAGTATAAAAAGAGTAGGGATGTACACATTAAAACTGATTTCTATGGCAATGTAGTGGATGACTACTGGTGTCATTCAGGATGATGATCCCTCTTTTTTTCCCATAGCATCCATCAATTTTGGTCTACAAGATGAGTTTTGCTGGAAGGCAAAGAAGGCAAGGAAAACATCTAAAAGTCCTTAAAATTTGAGCAGTCATGCAGCTGTTTCCTGCCATGTCCATCGAGTTCACTAGCCAAGGCAGTGTAGACACAGTTTCTCTGAGCTCAGGAGAAAGTTTCCTTCTCTCTCCTGATCCCCTCTGAGAGTGCAGAGCACTGTTGTTAAGGACTGAGTGGAGACAAAGAGGAGACAAAGTATTTGGTAAATGGACAAGCATCAAAGTGACAATTACTGGGAGTTCCTTCCCAAATTTCCTGTCAGTTATCAAGACTTATAAAACATATTAGTATGTGTCATTAAGCATTTTACTTAAGCCACCTCACCTTTGTGTAAAAACAAGACATCGTCCATAATGCTGCACACAAGACCCTCCCCCCCCAAAAAAAGAAAATGACATAAAATCTTTTCAATCCTTCAATAGAATTTAGTAGCTGCCACTCTGCACAGAAGCAAAGTCTTCTCTCTCTTTTCTAATGAATACATAGTTCTGGAACTGACAATGAGAAAAGAAATCTATTCTTGCAAACATTGCTCATACTGTAGTGTTTTACGCCTCCTCCATACACCAGCTGAAATACCAAAATAATTTTCATGTTAGCATTTTTTATGACAACTGCAAAGAAATGTTTGAGGCATTTTTTTCTTTTTTCTCATCAGATTAAATCTTTTAAAGCAATCTTCTGTTTTGACAACAATGAAGGGAATATTTTTCAAATTAAAGATATTCTGAGGCAAAATCATGTCCTTTATCTGCTCTGAAAGCTGAAAACCCTTTTAACACAGAGCCTCTGGTGTGCTTTTCCAGAATCGTCACCCAAAGAACTTTGCAGCTTCCATGCGCTGGTGAGATGCACTTTCCACATTAGAAAGGTTGATTAGAGTTTGATCACTATTTTCATAATTACATGAGTATTTAGCACTGAATGGATGGCAGTGGAGCTGTTACTGTGGGTCAAGGCTTTCAGACACTCTTTGACAACATATTATTTCTGATGGTGTAATTTGCTCTTGAGTGGATGGAAAAACTTGAGAGATTCGTAGTAGTCTCTCTGCTGACTTTCACGGCAGTGAAACTTACACTAGTGACTGGGGAATGAACACTTTGGGAGAGTTCTTCAGCATGGAGTGGCCGAGTTACCTCCTGTTTCCTTCTGTTGGCAACTTTAGTATTCAGCTTATTGCGAGCATTTGCAGTCTCCAAATTCCTTCTCTCAGTCTTGACTATCTCTTTTTGTCTTGTTGGGCACACAGTATCTCTTTTGGTTATCGGGTCTCAATGTAACTAAGTTTCCTTCCTGTTCTTCCTAAACTCTACTTTCTTTGCTGTCTCGCACCTTCACTCCAACTTTATTTACTTTTCTCTCCTGTGACGTTTCTACATGTTCTTTTCTCTTTGCTCCTTCTACTTGGCTACCCTACCTGAATTTGTATGATCCAGTTTGACTTCCTTTGAATTTTCAGTGAATTTATCTACTCTCTAAGCCCTTCCACTTTTTCCTCTGCTCTAGGAATCGCCTTCCATTTAACATCTATGTGTCCTGCACGAACTTCATGCCTATCTGGGAGCACTGCGTATACTGCACTCTGGATTGTTTTAAAAACTTTGGTAGCCAGTCTGCAAAGCTCCTGTTGTTCCTCCTTTCAGTAAGGCTGGTAAATGGAAGGACTTCTCTGCACTGAGCACACTTCATTTTACTGTGTCCGGTTCACTTTCAGATTCACAAAGCTGCTTTCTCAGTTATTCATGCGATATACACTTGCTTCTGAGGATCTACCAGAACTGCACCCAAAATTTAGCCTCACTTTGTGTGTACTCAGGTTATTTCTCTTTTACAGGGTTGTTCTCTTCAAGATACCTTTTGCTATATAGATCAGGTTAATGAACAAGCAATCAATAGTTTATACTGTAATGTTAGCAGTGCTAAAATGTACAAGCTTCACCACGGAAGTATGTTAAATACTCACAGCACAGATCATGGCATGTGCGAATGGGTTATCACAAACTATTTGAGAAGACACTTGCAGGCATTTTTCCCCAATTTTATCACAGCATTTAGATAGGTGTTTCAACACTTAGTGCAAGAATTTGTACAATTAAGGTGAAATTCACCACTGGGAAGAGAGCCAGCATAAGACCTCTTCAGTGCTCACATATCAGTTAGGATGACCAAGTCTTATCCTGATATCCTATCAAGGGATTAATTAGATCCTCAAGTATTAAACTGTTTATCCAAGTGAATTTTTCATCTAAGTGCAAGGTATGGTATTTGAAACACTCAAGCTACCAAGTTGTGCTCTGGGACTGGGGTGGATTTCACTTGATTTTATGTCTACATCTCTACAAGTCTCTGCAGTCCTCATTTTGCTAATGGAGAGAGGAAGTCCATTCACAATCTGGACTGTGAGCCCACCCAAATTTCATCCAACCACCTACAGTGCTAATAGTTTTGACAAGCAGAACAACGATTCAAGTGTTACAGAGATGGAGGATCAGACAAAAAAAATAAATTAGGAGTGAGAACATGGCCACCAGCTGATTTCTCACTGATCCTTAATTTAAGTGTTGTTTCCCTTAAACTGTTTAGCCAAATATTTTGGTCTAATTCCAAAAAAAAAATAAAAAAAAATTAGCATGCTATTTATTCTGTAGAATTTTTTTAGCTCTTCCTATACATATACATATATATATCAAATATATATTAAAAGAAATGAAATGGGGAGCACCTCTCCTGCATAGCCCTGGTTGCTTTAGCACAGATCTGGGGTTTATGCGGTTTTTCCACTGCTCCCATGGCTGCTTTGCGCTATATCCCACTGCTGCCACGGTAGCATTCATGTGCATGGTCCTTTGCACAGCAGCTGTCACAGAAAGCTGAGCACACAATCACTTCTTTTTGTTTGCTCCTGTTGTTGTCGTGATTTATTAGGTACAAAGGCAGGAGACTGGCCCCGCCCAAGTCGGAAATAGAGTGTTTCACCCCAAAAGGGAGTATGGGGAATGGTGGGAGAGCTACAATGACCAGGTAAGCAAAAAGCAAGTGGCCTTAGGGCAGTGTGATATGTCTGTGAACAAGAGGAGCAGCCCTGGGGCAGTGCCAGGCCAGATCCTCTGTCTGTAATTCCTGTGCATCCCATATACTATGTTTAGAAAAGAAAAAGAAAAAAGAAAACACATGGCCACTGCTGATTTCTGTGTTCCATCTGACTGCCAAAAAAACCCTGCACCATGTTCATTCAAGTGATCCGAACCACGTGTCCTGTGTGATGTTGTCGTACTATGGTGCTTCGGGGAGGAGAACCCTTACACTTGACTCATTAAGCCAGCAGAGCAGATGAAGAGAGACGGCATTCATACGTGGAGCAAGCAGCTCCAGAACTCCTCTGGAATGGTGGTTCTGCTACGTAATAGACGTCGTACTAGGTTTAATCTAAAGAGATCTTAAAAAGAGCAAAGGAAAACTGATCGATGAAAACATTGTCAATATGAAAATTTGGTTCTTCTCAATCAATATATATTGCAGAGAGTGCTGAATTTTACAGTGGTTTTAAGGAAAGGTTTCAAATAGAATTCAGATCATCTTCATAACTTTCTCCATTTAATTTTATATATTCACTTTCAATTTTATTTTGGCCATTATATATTGCGTGACATTATGCACTAGTGTTACAATTTTAATAAGTATCAAATGCTACATATTTTCAGTGTTACTGGGCTGAACTGTTTCAATATGGCCATTTTGATGGTGTTATATTGAAATATTTCAAATTTTAATTCTGTGAAATACTTGGATATTTCAGCTATACATCTCATTTTGAGTCCAGTCAGAATTCAAAAATATTGATCTCCCACAAGACAGAAAATCCATTTCTCCAGACATCTCCATTAATAAATGAATAAGCCACATATGTCTCAGATGGTTATACATCTTTCATGAAGCAACACTCTTAATAAGCATTATATCATTGTGTTCCGTTCTACTACAACTTAAAAGCATTTTGTTTACCATTTATTAAAAGACCTACTCATTCCTTATCAACCCCTGTAAGGTATTTAAAAAAGTAACCTTAGAGCACAAGATGACCAAATTATACCTATAATTTTCCCAAGTGTTACATCACAGGTAAATTTTATAATTGCAGGAGGGTGTCCAGTGACACACTTGCACAGCGTTATGTTCCCCATGGGTACAACAATACTCACTCATTTACCTAGGGATATCAACTGTAATACCAGATAGCACACATCTGGGGGGTTCCTGATGCCTAAGGAACATCAGGAACATCCATCATCAAGTGTTGTACAAAATATATACATGCCTGTTACCTTTTGTCATCTGGGATTCTGTTTCTTGTCTGTGTGCTGTCTGGATTTTACTTTATTTTTTCCTACATTGTGTTGCCTTCAGTGATATTTATTTTTCATTTAAAATCTATCTGAAGTCAGCCTGTAAGAGAGTTTTGAAGAGGAGTACATGTGAATGTCAAACAACTGTATTTCCTTGTACAGTATTCAGCTCTGTTTTGCCTGGCCATATATATATACACTTGAAAAACTTCTTTTTTATATTTTATTTCTTCACAGTGAAGAATCTGTTTGCATTCCAGACTGTAATCGATCTGAGTCAAGTAGAGAGGAGAAAAAAGTTCCCGTTAAAGAGGATTCCCTAACAGTCAAAAAGACTGGAAACTGTGTCAGTCTAATAGTTCCACAGCAAGACTGTCAGCTGCAAGACCTCCTCAAACAGTTAAGAACTCCTGCTGCTTAACAGAGAGTGCAAGTGCATTTGATGGCTGTGTTTTGTTGTCTCCAGCCACAGTGTCCTGGCCAGCAGTCCTTGTCAAATTTCATAGCGTTTCCACTAAACAGCCTGGGAACCTCCCAAAGAGAAAGTAGATCTCGCAGAAAGGAATGTAGGTGATACTCTCCTGTCTTAAAAAGCATCAGACCAGTGCCAGAAGTCACTGGGATGAAGTGCAGATGGAAAAAGGGACCTGACTGTGAACAGTGAAAAAAAATCTCATCACGGCACAGGGCAAAGAGATTCCATGATACCAACCAAATCTCACTTACACCCTTCCAGTCAAAAAAATGCTGTGCAACTTAATGCTGGGCAGTATTGTTCAGCTTATGTTTTCAAATCCCTCGTGCAATATTATTCTTCAGTTCCAGCCCTAGCGTGGATATTTTTCACGTCAGGGCCTAACTGGCTCTGTATATCAGTTTTATAAATACCTTTTCAAGATGAAAAGTGACATAAAAATATCAGTAATGGGTACACTGTATTATGTTTTATAAGGCTATTTCTGATTAAAAGAAGTTACTATATCCTGCATCATCTGTGAGCATCATTCACATACATCTTATAAAATCAGTTATGGAATGTTTTATGAGGTTTTCATGAGGCAGATATCACAAATTTTAGTTGGTTTTTTTTTCATTTCTTGCATCATATTTGCATTTCTGATTTGATTAAATGCAACAAATAAGAAACTGCTTAATAATTCACAAGAGTAATTTTCCTGCTGATAGATCCCATGTGCATAAATACCTGTGTGTTTATCAGGCATGCCCAACACCTGAAATTCCTCCAAAAGTATGGTCTTTGCAGAGAATAGAATTCAAAATAACCTTTAACTCTAGAGATAAATTCTTCTTTTCCTTCATTTTTTTTTTGCTTGTGCACTGCTTATGCTTCTGATTTCAGGGTCAGATAAGCTGATGGTTCCTATTTTTCCCAGTTTCCATCTCATATGCTTAGAAAATTATCAACTAAAAAAAAAAAAGGAAAAAAATGTTGACTAAGCAATGTTGAAAGCATCTTAAAGCATCGGGAAGCAGAATCCACAGTTCAAGAGATGGCGTCGTTCTCTATCCATCCTGTGAACAGGATGTACCCAAATTAGAAGAGATGTGCTTAGAGATGTTTGAAGTGACATTTTTTGGACGAGAAGAAAACTCAGTGCTAGTTGCCATAATTAACAGTTGCAATGAGGTCACAGTAATACAGGAAATAAGTTACATCTGGTATCAAAAGAATATTTGCATTTTGGATCATGATAATAGGTGTCCTAGAAACGTTTCATTCAGATACCGGAGGCTTCATTTCCCATTCTGATCAGGCTTGCCGCTGAAATCGCTACCAGCATTAGTGTCGCTGGGGGCTGTGCTGGGAGGTCATTGGAATTCTGTCCATCAGCTCTCTCTCACTTTGGAGATTCTTTTATCCTTATACATTAAAGTCATTCATATAAATGTCAGCTGTGATTTTCATGAGGAAAGGAGATATCAACAGAGAACAGTTCCTGGCGTAATACAAATAAATGCCCTTGCTGTGGTTAACAGGACACAACTCTGAAAAGTAACTGCAAAATATGTTGTTTACTTCCAGAACTTGGGACCGGACAAAATTAATTTTTGCCTTATATCATTCCTCTTTTGTGTTTTGTTGTTATTTATCTTCATAGAACAAGCAACATGGGAATAATTTAAGCTAAAAGACTTGAGTGATATACCACTAGCAGGTCATTTGTATGTGACAGAATTGGCTTTCACCCAGGGAAACAATTATATAAGCATGTAGAGATTTCCTTAAAGTCTGTTTAAAATGAAAGGAATAGCAATAACATAAATCAGTAGAGTAGTAGAACTGACATAGTTTAGATACCTTAGGTTTCTGCATTCAGTTTTAACCAGACATCCAGTTCATCCTAGAGTCCCGGGAGAAACTATGACTTCTTTTTACAGGTATATTACAGTTTGCCACTTCAAGTACTAATTTATTTTCGGTGTTTTTAGCATGTTGGAAGGCACTTAATTCTCCAAGGATGGAGAACCTGGGTCACTACAAGCAAAATGCATCTTGATCTGAGACTGGCTCAGGTGACAACACTAGAGAAGCAAGATACACCTGTGCCCATGCTTGCATATATCACAGCCCCACACATAGATCACCCCTTGTGAAGAGCCATTTTTAATTAAATCTACACAAATCCTTTAATAAGGATTTAATAAGGTTTCAGTAGTGGACTCTAAAAGGACAACAGCTTCTTACTATTTATTTTCAATAACAGAGAGTTCTCCTTGGCAGAATGTTGTGTGGACTAAGTTAAGTACAGAAGTTTGTCCTTCTAACCGCTGCCAGCTGATTCTGTGGATAAGACAGAAGGACTCCTCCTTTAAACAGAAAAGACTGTCCTTAAGAATCAGGCCTGGTGTGCACAATGTTGGAGCAATAACTTAATTATGCCAGCTTCTCAAGAAACAAGATATGGCTTCAAGTTCGAATGCAGCACTCTACTTCAGCCATTAAAACATCTAAGCATGACCTTTCTGCCATTTTTAGCTCAATAATATCTAGATCAGTGTTTTGAAATATGACTTTCATGCATAGATTTCTAAATTAAAGAATTTTAAATCATTCCTTATTATATTCACGTGAGGACATGTTGCAAACAGATGACAGAAGACTCCATTAAGTTAATGTCTACTATCTCTTTTCAGCTGTATCATTTCGAATCTGGAACCAGATATTGATACTGATATGTGATAGAGAACAAAAATTTCCTTAAATTTTTGTATTAATTTCTATTGATTCTCCTTGTATTCCAGTTTCCACTGGTGAATAATACTATTTAGCAATGCAATCCAAGTTTCTCAGAAAATAATAAATTCCATAATTTAAAGCTGATTTTCCTCTTTCATTTAACAACAGAATAAGTGACTTATTTTAAAATTACATATTCTTTCAGTAACTGTCCCTATATTAGTCCCTAAGCACTCACCATCAGAATTAATTTTAGCAACTTCAGGTAATTGATAAGAGCAGCACCCCTGTAAAATATGAATTTTCACCTGCTGTGACTGTCAATTCCTCTACCCATTTTTTATTTCTTTGGCATTTTGAGGGACTTTACAGACTACATTTGCTTTAATAACATCTAGCCAAAGCAGCTCTGGTGGTGGAGTTATGTACCATCTCATAGCTAATCATACCACAGAGAAAGAAATGCTGAAACAAAAATTCTGCAATCACAACCAAAACAAATGTTTTATTCTAGACAGTAAAAAACCCCACAAAACTAAACATGTAAGGGGAGAGGAACACCTAAGTGAATAAAAAGCAGTTAATATCTTTTCTGAATACAAAGCAAAGCTCTAAAGGAAAAACTTAAGTGACTCTAAAAGATTAAGTAAGGCAAGAAAATGAGAAGCAATACTAATTGCTATTCTATCAGCAAGTGAGCAGCTGTAGAGAAATTATGTGAAATATCAGAGGCTTCAAAAGCTTGCTCATTTATACACTTTCACTTCTTGTACATATTATATCGTGGCAGGTCTAGCACGCTGGGAAAAAGCCTAGTTATCCAAATCAAAGCAGCTTTTAGTAAAGGGACTGGAGAAACAATTAGTATGACTGGTTCTGTGGAAATCCCTCTTGTACATAAAGCTGAACCTAATTAACCTACAGTGAAAGAAATAAAAAAAATGTGCTATGGAAAAGGCTTTGTTTTACAAAAAAAAAAAATGTTGCTAATATTTTGGGTTGGAAATTTTGTCACTGATTGAAGTCTGCTTTTCCACAGATATGACCCATACTCTGCTCTGCTCTATTCAGTGCGGTGTGCTAGAGAAAAGCAGAATGGAGTAGAAAAATGTGTATTCAGTCAAACTTAGTAGAAGCATTCCTTTGAGAGCTCAAAAGTATAATTCTTTAGTTCTCACCTGAGGGAGCCAAAATATGTTTGCAGGAAAACTCTAAAATTTTAATGATCTAAAGTTTCTCACCACCAAAGGCTCATGGCAGAGCTGGGAATAAATGTAAATGATGCCATTAGTAGACATCATCGTCTATGCCTCTGATCTATTTTTATTTCTCGGTTTTTAGTGGCTTTCAGTCAACTTGCAATATGCAGTTAAAGCGGGATCCTAAAGTACTATCACTGCAATTTGCCCATAACCCAGCTTCATACCAATGTTAGAAAACAAGCAGTGCTCCTTTCAGAGAGGTGATAAATGATTGCACACCTCAGTCCAGTGTTGATTCGTGTAGGTGAAGCATAATAAAGTGAATGATACATTTCTGAGATAACAATTCCAATCATTGCTGAGCAGACTACAAGGATTTAACTATAGGGTTCAGTCCTTATTGATAAATTGCTGCTTGCTTCCTATTCAGCTTTTTATTTCAAGGAATTTGCAATGCATGATTCTGAAGTATCTCACAGTTTTGCAAAAAAAATGTGCCCCAAACAGCCACTGGGTCTCCTTTAGAGCCCTAGGATCTCCATGAGAGACACACACAGAGCTCAATTACTCCTGGGCACAGTGCAAAGTCAATAAAAAAGTGCATCAGCCAAGACTGACCCGAAACTAAACTGGGACTCAGGGAGGTCAGTGACAGTTGTTTCACTAAAGATCTGTCAGCTGCTCTTGCCAAGGGCTAGACACATCCCCAGATTTCATCCTTTTCCTTTCCCCAGGCTTCTCAGCTTCCTATCCATCCTTAATAATTGTCTCCTGAACAATGACCAGGGAGGGAGTGACATGTTCCCTTCACGACCTCTTACAATCTGACTATCAGTGAACTGAAAATGTCTACATACGTTAGTGCTTGTGTTCACACTTAAGACCATAGGGTTTGAACACCTCTACTAAGCCAGTGCTTGAAGTAAGAAGGGATGCTAGAATATGCCTCTTTCTTCGGGTAAGCATTTTTATTTGCATTGGCTAATCCTTCAAGTTAACTGCATTTATTTCACCTTCCTGGCAGGCAGGTCTGTCACAGATCCCTCTGAGATCTGAACTTAGTAGGAGTTAAGAGACCCCATCAGGGAGGACATCCAGGACTGGAATTAGACCCTCTCTTTCTGCCAGATCAAAGTTACAAGTGCGGGGTCACCCAGCCTCCTAGTCCAGCTCAAACTCAGCAGGAGCTGGGGGGAGATCTCATGGTTATCCTATGAGAACTAGAAGCAAGCCCTCACCTACCAAAGGATCCAAATCTGGCTCCTGTTCCTGGCACCGAGCTCTCACTGAGCTCAAGACTCAACAAGACCAAGGAGTCAGGACTCTCAAACAGCTCTCGGCTCCCACGAAGTACATGTTTCAGTGAGAGGAGCATGCAATCTTCAGATGCAACTGATTTCCTCCGGAAGACATTAGTGTTAGCTCCTGCTCAGCTCAGAATTGCATCCACAGATATTCAAAGAGTCAGAGTGATCAGCACTGCAGGTTCAATTCTGCTTTTCCTTCTTGCTCTGACTGAGGTACAACAAAAGGAAAGGATTGTCTGAACAGCATGTTAAAAGCCACCAGCTGTTCTGCTTGGCATTTTGGGGCTAGGTGTGTAACAGCTGTCTTCCAAGATTCAGATAACATCCCGGTGATCACTGCAGCAAAGGGGTGAGCCTTTATATACTTACACAGACCATCTCCCAGTCTAGCCTGGTTTACATTGCATTTGTCTACTGGATTCTGTCATGCTGCTTTTGAAGAGGAAAGCTGTCGGCATATGTTGTGTTACATGATCCATCGTAATTCCATGTAATGTAACTGTGGATGCGAACCCACAAGAAGGTTTTGTTTACACTCAGCACACAACTATTTTTCTTTAGATGACTGGTATAGCTATTAAACTGGTAGTGTGTGGCAAGCCTCCACATGAAGGCTGGTTTAAAGTCATCTGTGTTTAGTAAACTATGTGTCTTGCAAACTGTTACACTGCAGGCTAATGTGTGAGTGTATCTATTTCAGGCTTAAAAAGCAAACAAATTGGTGATACTCTGCCAGGGTCTTCAATGTGATTGTATTTCCAAAAATGCTGAATGGCTGCAGCAAATTTTGGAAACTGAAGTGAATTATTTAAAGTTCTGTTGCATTTTATATATATAAATCATGTTTATTTGTATGTGGATGCTATGTTTTCCTGTTGACATTACTTCAGAGTCATTGTCTGTTTCAGCTAAAATATATTTCTAATGGTCTTTCTTAATCCCTAGAACTATAGGTTAATGTATGTATAAACACTAGCTCATCAGCCTAAGGAAGATGTAAAAGGAAAGCAGTGTTTTCATACTATGTGTTTGTAAGTGCCACAGCTGGCTTTTCTTAGGTAGCAGGAGGAGAAAAATAAGCAAGTTTGATAAGGAGCAGGTAAGAGAAATTACCCTAAGAGGACTTATTTTGCTGGAGAGTGGACCAGAATGCTGTCTCCAAACTCAGGTCACCATGAGGAGCTGCTTGTATAGCTTGTCTGTTGTTTCTTTCCTTCTAGCTGTTATTTCTTTCATCCTCTGACCTGACCTGCAATTAAAAGGGGTTTTTTTTGAAGCTAGTACTAGCTAACTTACCACGTACCTCAATGAAAAAGAGTTAGCCCATCAGAAGGATCTCTCTATTCACAACCAGTATAGCCCATTTCTGAGTATTGCTCCAGTACTTCCAAGTACTGGTGGAGTCACCACCCCAGAGGTGTTCAAAAAAACTGTAGATGTGGAACTTCAGGAAATGGTTTAGTGGTCATGGTAGTGTTGGATTGACGGTTGGACATGATGATGTTACAGGTCTTTTCCAACCTTAATAACTCTATGATTCTATGACTCTATTCTATAAATAGCTATTCTTTTCCCAGCCATAAGAGACTATGATTCTCCATCTCTCAGCCTACACTGCCTGCTCCATACCATGAACTTAGGGCCCGCACCCTACATTAATGTCCATATCACTGAATGGTCCCAGGCCAGCCTACATACCTGACCCCTGCAAGCCAGCCAGTCCAGGTCTCTCACCTATTCTCTCTAAGCATTTGCTTCTTCCTCACTCTTCCATGCATCTGTCAGTCCTACAACCCCTTTTCCTGACACTAATCTGACAGAAAGGAAGCCATCAAGTTACTTCCTCCCCCAAGACAGACACTGCCTGTGTCTTAAGGACAGCAAGAGAAGGGTCATCAATGGCCATACATGAGCACAGAGGAGGTCATGGCTGGGTACACAGATGGCCTTTGAAATCAGCTGGCACAATCCGATTGTTTTCCTAGAACATATACGTATAAATGACAGATATAGATCTATTGCAATAGATAAATACAGATATCGATGTCAATACAGATACAGACAGAGATATAAATGCAGATCCAGAAACAGCTATAGATGAAATACAAGATATAAACATAGATGAAATTTCTGCCAGGTAATGCGAGCTCTGGGATACCACATATCCATGGCATAGGTACAGTAATTACATTTTTAACTTTGATGCAAGTTACCATCTCATCTCATTTCTGTTTGCAGCTCTAACGGGAAGTCAGTTTCCTGGGCCCAGAATGAGAAAAGCAGCAGAGGAGCACACCTTTGGCAGCGGTTGTCAGTCCACATCAACAAGAAAGAGAACCCCAATCAAACCGCAGTGATCAAGCCTTTTTCTAAAAGCACAGATAGTAGCCGACATAGTAGCAGCGCTACATTTCCTGAGGCCAGTGCCAAAACGCTTTACGACGTTTCGGAAGCAGAAGAGCAATACCCAGCTCAGTACCGGCCGCAGACTCCTTCACCTATCAGCACCTTGAGCCACAGAACTGCCTCCGTCAGCCGAACGGAAGACGATGCCCCTACCTTCCAGTCAGAGCCTCCTCAGAGAAGTAGCTCCTCTCAAGGCTCCCTCATGGAGCAGATCAGTAGCGTGGTTACTCGCTTTACAGCCAACATCAGCGAGCTGAACAATATGATGCTTTCGACAGCCTCTCCAGGGACAATGGTGGCCACTCCTCTCTGCTCTTCATACCTGATTCCACGGGAGATCCAGCTTCCTACCACAATGACCACGTTTGCAGAGATCCAACCGCTTCCTGCCATTGAAGTCAATGGCGCTTCGCAGTCAGACAGGAAACCTTCGAATGGTAGCGTCAAAGAAGGCACTTCAGAGACCCCATCAGCCAAGCAAGACCTTGAGGAGCTGGTAGCTTTAACTCCTCCTTCTCCTTTTAGAGACTCCATTGATTCTGGAAGTGCATCTCCCAGCTCTCCGGTTTCTGAATCAGCTCTCTGTATCCCATCATCCCCAAAGTATGACACGCTCCTCATCAGAGATTATACTCAAAGTTCTTCTTCGCTGTGAATGTAGTTTGAGACAACGTTGGATTGCAATGACTACAAGCAAGTAGTGAGGGGACAGCCAAGCCTTCAAGATCTCCAGTGTTTACGCAGATACAGTGAGAGGCGTCGGGTCATCTTGTGAGAAATGGAGAGGAAGAAGAGGAATTACTCGAGAAGTGGAAACATCAGATTAACAGTTTATGCTGTTTTAAAGACAAAACGACTCTTGGCAGATTATCGTGGCCTTAAAAAAACATGGGCTTTTCAGAAACACTGAATCTATTTTTGAGGGCTTATAAGGAGTCTGTTAAATCAGTTACATACCAAGTGCTTTGCTTTAGTATTACAATGAACTGTGTGTACAATATACGAGGCAGGGGAGAAACTAGATTGTAAACAACTGTACAATGGTTTGTTTGTTTACTCTGATTCCTTACCCAGAAGTGAACCTTGATCTTTTATCAAGAATAGAAGACCAAACATTGAATGTACATTTTCTAACAGACTCAAATCTGGGACCAACCTGTCAAGTTTTCTTTCTTTTTTTTTTTTCTATGAAGATCTCAAAAAGCAGTAATGTATGTTCAATAACTATCAAACTTTTGCTGAAGCGTATTGTGTCCGTGATACGTTACACGTGGATAACACTAAACTGAGGCTTTGCAGTGAGTGACTGCAATATGGAGGGCTTTACAACTGACTTCTCAAGCTACACATTTGTTTAAGAAATTCTCTTCTATCAGTATCAATAATTCAATTTGTTAACATTGGATTCACCTTCACAGCAACAAAATCCAAGGAAGAATTCCTGACTATTTCACCATGTTGCCAACTAATAATGAAGTAGCAAAAAATATTTTCTGGAGTACTGTTTTGTAATTCCCTTATCAGGGCAAGCTGTTGAGGTGAATATTCTCTTTCTAGCAGCATTACCAAGCTATATTACAGCTGCACTCCCCAGTGAAATTAACACATTTTTATGGACGTTCTGATGCTAACATTACCAGTTAAAATATTTATTCGGATTCCCATAGTCTTTACTTGTGTGGAACAGATAAACACCCTAAGGATATTTCTCAATACTTTGAATGACAGAATTCTAGGAGGCCAATCTGGATTGTGATGGATGTTAACTGTCAGAGGAAAGGTTGTCATAATCACAATTCATATACTGAGTGGAAAAAAACCCTGAGTCAAAATCTGTTTAGCTGTGATTTATCTACTCTTTAATAAGCAACAATTTTAACTTTATTTAGCTGCCGATGCCTTGCAGCTACGAACTATGACAAAAAATAAAAAAAGAAAAAATACTTTCAAAGCAATACAGAGCAAAGGTTAAAACAGAGAAGATCTAATGAGATATGAATCAACAGTCTCTCGTTTCTTAGCAACTCACAGAAGAAGCAAGAGGATTCCTCATATTTCTTTCCTATATCGAGGTAGTACACTTCAGTGCGCTTCATATTGTCACAGCACTTTTTTAATACAGGCAGGGAAGAGTTTTAAAGTTTGAACAGAAGCTAAGTAATTTTTGATAGGTGTAGTTACATAGAACTTGAAAGTCAGGCGCTAAACGCACACTGTATTGGCTCTCTCCTTCGTGATACAGCTGTCCTAAGGTGCCAAACTTCTATGAGTTTGTTTTATTTTATTTAAGGATAGCGTACTTCAATTAAAAGTTGAGTTGATGTAGCCTTACTTAGAAGACAGCCTCATGGAAGTGAGCCTTGAAATAAGGCTGCTATGTTTCATTTTCAAAATCTTTAAATCTTACTTTTTTGAAGATAATAAATATTTTGTAATCAAAATTCATACCCCCTTTTCCTCCCCTGTGTCCAGAATGATACATAATTGATCAAATAACAACAAAAAAACCCAGATGAAAGCACATTCACATATTTTAGCAAAGAGCATTTTCTATTCCTTTAGGAAGCATGTTTCATTATGTGCTGCACTCAAAATTGCTGCTCAATAGCATTTAAAAAATGCTGAATTCAGGCTAGCACCTCACAGAGATACTCTAGTGACTCTGTACACCCTGTGCAAGGCAGTATATTCAACAGCAGTCTACAGGCATCCTTATTCTGCCAGGCAGAGTCCTTTACTAGCTATGCCTAAACGTAGTTCTTGCCTCCTCACACAACCAGTTAGTGCAGACTCAGTTGCGTGCAGATGTACTGTTTCCAGAACGGAGCCTGGTTTTGCCCTCCTGGATCACAGTACCAGCATGTCTCATCATTCTCTAGCTGCCCATGTCTTTAGGAGAAAACATCTTCTTTCACAGGTTACAACACATGTTTGAGGGAAAGGCGTGTCCAATCAGTCTATGACATGAACACTTAAATGTTTTTTGATGAAGACTTACATGATATGTTTCCCCATCAGTGCAATATTATTTAACATATACAAAGCATACTGAGATAGTAAATGTGAATTTCAAAGGGATTCTATCTCTTTCTGTTTTCTTACGCTTTAACTTTTCGACCAATGACCTATTACAACTTTCTCCCCCTTGATCTTCCCCTGGTCTATTAGGTTCCCATTTCTGCAGTCCTTTCCTGCATTGATGGACACTTAACACTAATTTATTCCTGCTAAAATCTGTGGATTTCACTGCACTGTGAAATAATCAACAGCAGAAATAGGGATTATACAGACAGACATAAAAATCTTTTCTTAAAATTAGTAAAAAGGAGTGAGAAATGGCAACTGTCAAACCATGACTCATCATTAATATATCTCTTCGCTCCCAAATTGCAATTCTGAACAGTCCTGGCCATAGCTATTGCTCAGAGCTTCTTGACATTTTTCATAAATTTTGCCAAGATTTTGTAAGTATGCACATACATGCATACACACATTCCTCAGTCTAACACTGAATATGTTTTAAGAGGCTCAAACCCTAATGTTACACAACCTTAATTTTAAACTCTTTTGCTCACTCTGGGAGGAGTCATGCATTTTTGCGTATCCATTAGTCACAGCAGAAATTTTAATTGCACAGGGAACCAAGAAGGATGGACTCTGCTGAGATTATACCTCCCTGTTGTGAGTCCATCTTTAATGAAAGATAGGTCAGCTTCAGTGGCATTTAAAGAAGGCAGAGTCCATTTTATTTGTACAGACTGGGATGCAACAATGTCATCTTGTATGGATTTCAACAAAGGGGGAAAAAAAGGAAAAGTTTATTTCAGGACAAAGATAACAATTATGTGATGACTGTAGCAGTAATTGAAAGCAGCCCAGCGGGAGATTTGCAAGAGTGTGAAGTTCTTTAATAGAAGCCGGTGGGTCTGACACAAGAAAAAAGAAAATTATGAATGACAGACATTATGAATTCAGTATGCTGTTTGTATGCTAGTCTCTGTTTTGGACATTAAGATACAATGGTAGGATTTTTCAGACATAAAAGCAAAGGTTACAGACATGAACACTTTCCAGTCTAACTAAAGAATGTGCAAGTACCAACTGAATGGCTTGAAATTTGCCTTCCAGTGCTGCTGCCAGAAAGGGAATTAAAGGGTTGAAACTATTGGCATTCTTGACCACAGGAACCTCAGAAAATTCTTTGTTTCTTTTGTGCTTGAGGCCAACTCTTAAGAGTGAAGGTGCAACCACCTCTGGAATCTGTGTTTTTGAAACACAGTGCATCACTCTGGCAGGCCAGTTGGGAAGAAGTATTAGCAATACTGAAGAAGAACTGTATTTTTTAATTGGCTCTGAAGAATAATTGCATGACTTTGGATATGTGCTTCCTTGTACTTCTATCTGAACATTTGGTGCCTAGACTCATACAGATACCTTAGACTAGAGATTTTTAGGCTACGGTCCACAAAGCATTTGCTGATGTTTCATGGGAGCTTGGCTGATCACAAGGTTCTGGTTTCTTCCATTGATTTCCAGCTACAGAAGCAAATTAAAAGTTAAATGCTAATTAAAAACTAATGGTTAAAAGTTTTAAAAGAAAAAAAAAAAGAAATGTTAGCTTGCTTTGATATCTGTCCAGTTGCTGTGTTCAATGAAGGAAAACTTGGTGATCAAATCTGGGAAAATAAGAGGTCCAAAGAGAGTAAGTGGGAAGGCCAATACGTGGTTCAGACTCCCGACTATAATGGAGTTCACCTGGAGGAGTTTTCATTAGAGACACCAAGACCAGCCTGAAAGACAGCATAGCTGTGGGTGTAAATTCTGTAAAGTGAGAAACTTTGCTACTCTCCATAATACATCATTTATGAAGTGAGAGAAAAAAAATACGAAAGCAACAGAGAGCATACAAAAAATCTTGTATACTTAAGGAAATTAGAGTACTATGCTCAGGATTGATAATGTGACCATGATTTTTTATTGGAGACCAGTGTCAGGGATGACCCAGAAAAGGACTTTGGCATCTGTCACTAGGATTTCAGCAGAATTTAATACCTACATTTCAAATTCACTTTTAAAATCACTATTCAACTGCCACATTATTCATCACTATATGTCTGCGTATGCCCAGAACTGCCCTGATCTTGACACATCTAAGGATCTTTGTACCTAAAAAAAACACATCAAGGATCCAGAAAACAGCAGTTCCAAGGTTAAATCCCTGTATATCCCATGAGTGAGTACACAGAATGCACAGCACACAGACCAATGGCGTCACAATCCCTACAAAATGAAGTAGAAATCATCCTCTGTTTTAGGGCTGTGGGTCTGGTTATGCTGTCAGTTTTATAGTAGCCCTGAGGTTAGAGCACTCAAGCTAAAGACAAGAGACCTAAATTCAGACCCTCTCATTTCCAGGGGTGATTGAAATCTTTCTCCAGGCTGGGAAGTCCTCTAACGACTCAGTGTTGTGGTATCCTCTGTTCATTGGACTAAAGGAACTTCACAAGACAGAAACAAATTCAAGAGTTCCAGAGTAGAAAAGAAATAGTTATTCTGCACCCTGATAGGACATACACTTGATATAATTAGGGATGGTATGTGACCATTTAGTATAAAATACTTTAAAAATCTCAGGAGCAGTAACCAGCTGAGTAT